CGTTGGCCGGAGGCGGTTCCGCTCGTTTCGACATCAGCCGCAGACGTTGCCCGGGCCTTCATTGCAACGTGGGTGTGTCGTTTTGGCACCCCGTCAGACATTTCCTCAGACAGGGGCTCTCAGTTCACGTCCGAGCTCTGGAACGCTGTGGCAGGCGGTTTTGGGGTTAAGCTGCACAGGACTACCGCTTACCACCCTCAGGCTAACGGTCTCTGCGAGCGCTTTCATCGCTCCATGAAGGCGGCCCTCAAGGCCGGCCTTACGGACGGTAACTGGGTCGACAAGCTGCCCTGGGTGATGCTGGGCCTGAGGACCGCACCTAAGGAAGATCTGCAGTGTTCTACAGCGGAGATGGTCTACGGTCAGCCGCTGAGAGTTACGGGGGATTTCCTCCCAAATGCATCGGCTCCCTGGTCGGCGTCGGCCCAGCGGGCTTTCCTGCGTGACGCCGCTGAGGCCTTTGTTCCGATCCCTACTACTCAGCACGGTACTCAGGTGTCCCAGGTTCCCGCAGAGCTCCGCTCGGCGGAGCACGTGTTCATCCGGCACGATGCGCACAGAGGCCCCCTGCAGCCCCCTTATGATGGGCCTTTCCGGGTCTTGGAGCACGGGGACAAGCACCTGGAGGTCGACCTGGGTGGCAAGGCCGAGCACGTCTCGGTGGACCGGGTGAAGGCTGCTCACCTGGACTTGGACCAGCCTGTGGTGCTGGCTCGACCTCCGCGACGGGGCCGCCCCCCGGCCTCGTCCCCTGTCACGGATTTAAGACCTGTTGTTCCGGTCCCTCCCCTTCCGGGGGCCGCACAGGCGGGAGTCACTTTTCCGACTCCCGTGCTCAGGAGTCGTGGGGGTCGGCGTGTCGTTCCTCCCCGCCATGCTGATTTTGTTTATGTGTGAATTCTGGGGGGGCTTGTGTGGTGACACGTTATTGGACATAATTCACCTTGCTTATTGTGTTGCCACACGGACCCTTTAGTGGGGAACACCTGTAGCTTTAGCTGCCATTCCTGCTAGCTCATCAGGCAGAGCAGTGCATGTGTTAACCTCTCTGAAGTAATGGATAATAAAGATTGGAACTCCATTCTTAATACACCGCCTCCGACTCTCTTTTCACGGCACTACACTTTAAAGCTTTTTAACCCAAACCACCTACTGGTTAAAGCACGTTATTACACGTTTAGAGTAATGCAATGCAGGTAGATTGTGTTGCTTTTTAATGACTGTTTAAAATGCCTTTTTCTTAATGTCTTATTAACTACTTGTTACTTGTTGCTAGGGACGCTGCTATCGATATTATTTCTGTTATGTTGTGTAACTGTTTAATGGTGTTATCTTTATTGCTACCCCCTTCCCCGTCAATGTATAGTGTTGGTCCACAGCGCAAATGTATTAGTTTAACAAAATCCGCATCTAAAATTGTGGCATAGATAGCCTACGTTATTTTCCCCTGTGCAATTCTCCATTTACTCAACAATAACACATAATTATCCTTGTGTTTATTTATTTGTTTGATTAATAAACACAAGTTGGAGTCCGTCAGGACCGAGGGTCGGAGCAGCTCATTTGCTTTAGAGAATATTACACCGGGAAGTAAGTATTCTCTCCGCTTCGCGTGACAAACCCTGTGATAGTCCTCAAGCTCTGTGATTGGAGAGTGTGTTCCGAGAATTACGCCGAGCGTCGAACAGCACTTGAAATGGGATGGAACTACGGCAGACTGTCCAAAACTGGATTTGAACGGGTCCACCGCGTCCCCCCCCTGCCCCTTACCAGCTGGTCTTATGTTTGTGACCCCTCCTGTTGTTAATTGATAACATTACATTAATTGATAAGCCTGAAACATGCACTTGTCAAGGTTCAGGGGCAAATTTTGCAAATATGGCAGTAGCCATCGATCAGCTTAAGATAAGATATACTTTATTGATCCCAAGTTGGAAACATTTGCGTTACATCAGCATGTGTAACAGTTGTAAATATGCAGTGGTGTTTATTTGTAAATAATTTAGTATAATCACACACATTCTGTGTTTTATATTTAACAATTCTGTGTTCTTTATTTATTGATTGTTCAATACCTGACAAGGCCGGAGATGAAATATCTACATACATCTTATAAGAGTATAATACATATGTATAATATCAGTTAAAATAAGTGCTTCAACATAGTTAACATTGCTGGAGGTATGCACAAATATTGATAGATGTCTTGTAATGCACTATTGAGGAACCTGCGACCCAAGTTTTTCATTCAATGCATAACTACACCATAGTTGTGTAGGCCTATATGATATGTCAATAAACCTTAGAAAATCATGAAATCTTGAAAGGGATGTGCAAAATAGTCATTATATACAGTCTTTAATTAACTATTAGTAGAGAATAACGAGTAATGAATATACTTTATAGGGATCCTATTAATATCTAATAATAAAAATAATGAAATTCAATAACATGCTTTAACCACTAGGTGTCCCTTTATATCAGCTGTGCACCTTTATGGTGTAAATACAGCCTATCTATCTATTGGATCAAATATAAAAGTCAGCTGAATTAGTGTTAATACTGCAAGGAGACGTATTGTGTGAAAGGAAATGTAAGATGTTGTTTAATGGCTGATATATTTATGATCCACGTCACGTTTTCAGTTCCTCATGTTTGTCTAGAAGTCTTCTCATCAGGGCTCTATAAATAGAGAACTACGGCAGATATGTAATATTTAATGCAGCCGAACCGTGTATTACAATGCCGTTATGTGATGACTTTCAAAGAGAAAAGCAAGCACACTCGGAATAAAGTCTTTTCGGTCTGTTTCCGGTATTTGTTAATGACGATGTGATGTGAGATGTGAGACTGGAATTGCACAGGGGAAAATAACGTATCTTTAGATGCGGATTTTGTTAAACTAATACGTTTGCGCTGTGGACCAACACTATACATTGACGGGGAAGGGGGTAGCAATAAAGATAACACCATTAAACAGTTACACAACATAACAGAAATAATATTGATAGCAGCGTCCCTAGCAACCAACTTGGTAACAATGACAACGTTGTATCGACACAATTTCCTGAAGTAATCTTCGTAATAACTAGCAAACTATAGATCATGTACATCCACTGCACACATAATCTGAAATATAACTCATATTTCTCGCATCAAATGACATCAAAAGCCATTTTAATGGCCAAACTAACTTTAAAATAGGCATTTTACACCGAGAATAAATCGAAGTTTGGCCATGTTTTTTTTTTCTGCAGGGAGAAATGTGAAGATCACGTGACACAGACGCCAGCCATTGGAATGAATGGTGAAAAAAACGTAGGGATTTCAGAGGCGTTTTTGTAGAAATACTAAGTCCTACGTTTACACGTTTTTTTATGAGACTGGGTTGGGTTTTCAGACTCAGTGAGTGTCAGCTCTGTTTGTGATAACGTAGATGCATACTGTGCACAGATAATTTGACGACTTCACCCAGTCAAGTGTAATAAGCCAAACAAGCATTAAGAGACAAACGTTGTTATATCGCGTTTGTGTAGCGGAGGTTAATGTAACGTTAGTTTAATATGCTCGTGAAATGCAAATCTCAAGTGACAAATTCAAAATTACAAATACACAAACAGTGGACTGCCGCCCTCCCTAGTAGCTCTAAAATTGGAATATTTGAAGTTGGAGACTATGTGCTCCTGTTTCACCGGTATAGGATTTATACGCTCTTGGTGACTCGTATGATCCGGATCTCTTCAATGACTGACTCAGAAGACCTCGAGTCTGTAAAAGGATCCGGATTTGCCATCTCTAGTACAAATGTGAATATGTAACACACACGATAAAAACTGAGCTCCAAAATGGAGACGCCACCAAGAGAGTTGTAATGATTTTTTATAATAGAACATTTATTTTGATATCTTTCGACTTCCATTGAGTGTGTGTGTGCCTGCTTTGCTTCAGTGGTCTCAGCAATAGCAGCAGCTGTGATGTATCCATTAGAGCAACATCTCTTCTCTGCCGGTCCAGAGATAATACTTCTCCACACTGAGAATGGATCATTAGCGCTGCAGTCACCGTCTGAACTGCAGACTCTGACACAATGTGAGACTGTCGTGAGGTCTCCAGCTGTTGCTTATAACCAGAGGTGGGAAGTAACTAAGTACATCCACTCAAGTACTGTAGTTAAGTAAAAAGTTGAGGTACTGTACTAGTACTTTACTTGAGTATGCTACTTTATACTTCTACTCCACTACATTTAAAAGGGAAATAATGTAATTTTACTCCACTCCAGTGACACTCCAAATGCATCTCTAAAAATGATCCTAGTGGAATAACTCGAAAAAAAAAATCGAGAAAATACCCTTAGACTCCAGAGGGTTAAGTCACAATAATATTTTACAAAAATTAAATCCAAACTGGGTTTGTCTTTAACATAAAAACGGTACTTGATGCAAGAAGTGTAAGAATATAATTATACACATACACACACATAAAGGCAATATGTCTGCACAATGATAACTTTGACTTTTTATACTTTAAGTACATTTTGCTGATAACACCTTTGTACTTACTTAAGTACGATTTTGATTGTATGACTTTTGCTTGTAATGAAGTATTTTGACATTAATGTATTGGTATTTTTACTCAAGTAAAGCATCTGGATACTTCTTCCATGTGTGCCTATAATATTACTTCTTGTGCGAGTGAGAGAGCAGGAGAGAGAGTGAAGCCTTGACAGGCAAACAGAGAGTGAACAAAAATGTCCCTCAGGAAGTCTGATTTTTGCTTTCTTTAGTGTTCAAGGTGAATCTGAACGGGCTCCTTTCTGAATGAGTGTGCGTCATTGCAATGGATCCAATGGGAGCGCGCCTCACGTGGTGACGGATATAAAAACCGATGTCCTCCGAGTTTCCCACACTGAACCTCTCCTCACTTGGTGCAACAGCAACAGATGTCCACTCACTTTTAACACTCATACTCTCTGTTTCCATGTTCTCACACACAGAGGGATAATGGATTTAAACGGCACGCTGTCAGGGCGCGACTTTGTCGCCCTGGAGCAGCGACTCTTTGGGAATAACTCCTTGTTTGGAAACAGCACCTTTGGAAACAGCACCGCCGCTTCCAACACGGATGACGAAGACTTGGAAGTGAATACCGATGTTTACTCCAGGGTGATAGTCACTGTCATATACGCTGCTCTGTTCGCTGTGGGCTCTCTGGGGAACTCCATCACTCTCTACACCCTGCTGAGCAGAAAGACCCTGCAGAACCTCCAGAGCACCGTGCACTACCACCTGGCCAGCCTCGCCGTCTCCGACCTGCTCATCCTGGTCCTCTCCATGCCTATCGAGCTCTACAACTTCATCTGGTTCCACCACCCGTGGGTGTTCGGGGACGCGGTGTGCCGGGGTTACTACTTCCTGCGGAACAGCTGCTCCTACGCCACTGCGCTCAACATCGCCAGCCTGAGCGTGGAGCGCTACATGGCCATCTGCCACCCGTTCAAAGCCAAGAGCATTATGTCCCGCAGCCGCACCAAGAAGCTCATCAGTGCCATGTGGCTCGCGTCCTTCGCGCTCGCCACGCCGATGATCTTCGTCATGGGCCAGGTGATGCGTAAAGGAGAGAATATATGCACCTCTATCGTGTCCCCCGTCACCATCAAGACCGTGCTCCAGGTAGGTGTCATATCGCTGCGTGTGTGTGTTTTGGTTTTACGCGCGGATTTATCCACAGTCACTCTTACCACATCTGGGCTAATTCAAGGGGAAATTATGAATATGAATCTGGAGTTCCGAGCCACACGTCCCTGAAGCAGGGGCGGTTCTAGCAAGTTATACCTGGGGTGGCGAAAGGGTGGCATGAGGTTCCAGCTGAGGGGGCAAATGTTATCTCCCCCCAAACAACACATTTCAACTTCAGAGACTTCATTTTCTGCATTCTATGGTGATTTGTATGTATGTGAATCACATAATAAGACAATGTAAAATCAACTTATGTTGAACACATAACCCAGTCCTTGCATGCAATAAAAACGTACAACAATTAGTTTTACGGTTTTTAATAGAAGTATTCAACTTTCTCACACACACACGCACACGCACACACACACTAATATTAATCTGCCAAATTAGTAGTTACTAAAGTTATGTGTAATAAATTGATTTAATACAAGCACATTCAATTTGTTTTTAAAGTAGCCTACAGTACTTGAAATTACATTTACTAATTTATCTTCCTCCCCTGAAGCACAGTATCATATTTTGTTGTTGGTAAAATCTTAATTTGTAGTAATTTGAAGAAACCCCTGCACATACACTGGGTCTGTGTGAGTCTGTGTGTTGTTTTTGTGTGTGTGGGTGTATATGCATTGGGAATGTCCAGTTTTTCCAGTTGGGGGTTGTGTTTGTTAAGGAGCCTATAAAAGAGTGGATGTAATGTGTGAATCTCAGAAATGTACTTAAGTAAGTCTACATTTAGCCTAGTTTAGTAATGCAATTCGTTCCTTTCTACTGGTTGTGCAAGCCCCCAATGTGCAGGCAGGGGCGCCGCCAGGGATTTTGGGCCCCATGAAAATATATCACATTGGGCCCCACCACCAGGCACAGGCCACTTTGTTTATAAATTACCTCGAGGGCCGTACCAAATGGTCTAGCGGTCCGTATACGGCCCGGGGGCCGGAGGTTCCCCACCCCTGCTTTAATATAATAACATTAGTATTAATATCATAACCAAAATGTCTGTGATTAACATTTTGTTTACAGACTGATCACTCAATGCTTCAAACTGTCCATCATCCTAAATAGACTAAAAGCAGTTTTTTGTTTTTATATAGATCATTGGCTATGTGGGAAAATACTGTGTTTGAAATGTATCATTTTAATTCGATGTTAGCTTTTTGTTATATATATAGTATTCCAGTCTCCCTTCAGATATGTTAAGTGGCATGTCATTCAACACAATGCTGCTCACCTCCTTCAGTTGGGAGAAAAGCTGGTTCAGGTTCAGCATTATGGGGGGACAGGGCTGCTGAGCTTAGAGATGGATCTGTTGGTCCTGGCACCAGGGGGAGGGACAACTGATTTAGTATGAATAGGCGCTAAAAATGTGCCTGCATTTATTAAAGGTAGGTAGGTAAGAATGGAGAAACCAGCTCGAGTGCGCTAGAATTTGAAAGTACACAACCGAAAAAAATCTGCCCCTTCCTTCAGAGTTCCTTACAGAGCCCCTCCTCCAACACACACAAATGCGCACATGACCAATGAGGGCACGAGATAAGTTTGTGCACAGATGGAAGGCTGACAGGCAGGTAGGCCATCCAGTTACTTTAGCCGGGCCAGCTCAGATGATTGGTCGTGCTTTTTACAGCGCCACGGCTTCCACAGATGACATTTTTGTATGTATTTATTGTCAAAGCATTTCATGTATTCATTGCTATTGGAATGTTAAGAGCAATCCATGGAATATATATACAGACCCGGCGTCATGGGGCCAGGCCCGCCCATCCAGGATTTGGGCCCGCTGTTTTAATCTGGGCTGAATACAACATTTTAATTGTTTTATTATTATGTTCAGTGGCGGCGCCAGGGTATACTGGGGTAGGCTACAGCCATACCAAGAAATGGCTTAGCCCCACCATGAAAAATGATTTTAAAGTAAGCAAAATAAAGTCCGCCAACTCGCGCGGCGTAAATTGCACAGACAGCAGTAATTACCGAAGACTAGAAACGGTTTGAAAACTTGTGTCACGTAGTGATCATCTTCTCAATAGAACATCTTTGATAATGTCTTCTGGCCAATCAGAATCAAGATAACGACGTGGTGTTGTTGCAGGAAGTCCCAACGGAGAATAATTTTGCTGTAGTACATCTCTATATTCATCGATACAACATTACGTGTTGATAGAAATCAACACATAATGAAATGAGACCCCACGGTTTGATGATTGATAGGTGTGTGGACTGTCTTTCATTTTGACACATAGAACAATGGGGGCTATCCACCCTTATCCACAATGTAAAGTAGTTCACACAGCCTCTTCCCTCTTCTCTCTGTGAGGAGCAGCAGGTTCAGCTTTCAGAACAAAGTAACACAAAACTAAAATGGCATTCATTTTTTTTAAATATGTCGTGTAGTAATAGATTTATTTATTTTTCTTCTCAAGAGAGTACCAGAATGTGTATTTTATGTTAGTATTTCAAAAAATCTCCAGGGGGAGAATCCCCCCAGACCCCCCTGCAGGGGTTGGGTTTTCAGCATGTCAACTCTTTCACTTGTGGGTAAATTGCAGGATTGGCTCCAGGTCGCCCTTTTGATTTACTACAAGACAAATGTGCCTTTTTATTTCATACAGTTCAATTTGGATTGAGACAGGGAAATAATCTAAACCTCACGCGTGGCATTTCACTGTCAAGGGGGCGTGTATGTAATTACATTGCAAATACTGACTTGAGCCCCAGCACTGCATGGGTTAGCCCTACCATAGATTACCCAACACAAATACTCTGGAGCCGCCACTGATTATGTTTATTGTTGTTATTTGTAGGGCTTTGTCCTAATATTTATTTTTGTTGTTGAGTGAGATGCGGCACAGCAGCCTGTCAGTTTACACTTGCTAGGTTAGTTTGGCTATTATCTTTTATATTTATCTGCAACAATATCAGGAAGTGGTTCACACTTATACACTTGAAAGGAATATGGCAACTCAGCGCCAGATGCAGGTACATTAGAAGACATCAGTTACATTACCAACGAGCTAGCAAGCCAGCCAGGGACAAGAGAGGCTGGCAATTATATTTTGAAGAGAGATTGACTCTCAAGCCGGTGTCAGTACCAGATATGTTCGGGCTACCAGATATGTTCGGGTGTATTTCCGTCGCATCCTTCATATCCGTCTACTCACCTCCCTCTGCTCCCAGCGCTCTGCTGCCACACACCGGCCGTCTGCGGAACTGCAGCCGGAGGAACTCGGTACAGCTTGTTATGTGTGAACGATCTAGATCCCTCCGCTTCCCCATAATGACCGCAACATTTTCGTGCCATAGGTAGTATGTAAAAGCCTCTAAAGCTCTGCAACAAAAAAGGATCATTATGAATGTAAATACTATACATGGTAATGCAGCAGGGCAGAGTGCGATGAGGCAGGCAGGCAGAACCAGATTTATTTCTAAATATTTGTCGATCAATATTAGGCTACACTAATATAAGGCTACTAGTATTATAATATTACTGCAATAATATTCCAGTGGTGGCTGCTTAAGGTTGTTTCTGGCTCGTTTGATCCAAACATTGTCCAAAGCTCAAAATGTATTGTAATAGATGTAAGAATTCTCAAAATGTACAATATGTTTTGATCCAACTCAATATTCTGATTCAATCCATATATGTTAGGGGTTTTTTTAAACAACATTTTCACCACAATAAATAGACTGCCTTCTCTCCAGCTCACCGCACACAAAGGGGGGGGGGGGGGGCATCTGTATTAACGGGTCAGTCTATAAGCACTAACAGCACCATAAATTACATTTAAACAACCACAAAAAAACAATTATTGTTTCCGATATTGATTTAACGAGATGCTGTTATAACATGGAAACGGCTTAATTAAAAAAAATAAGCTTCAAAAATGTTTTATGAAGCACACTGGGTACAGCCCTGTAATACATGTGTTCCGTGTGTATATAGTCTTACGCAAGAAACACATAGCATGAACAGACTGCAACAAAACCAGTCTTACAAAACAGACTTCTGCTAAACTGGTGCAGAAGCAAAGTATCTGCCTTAGATGAAGTTCACACAGAACTGTGGAAAAGGGAGAACATCTGTACTTGCTTTCAACGACATGATCCGGCTTATATATTATAAAAGTGTTGGCTAAAGTAACGCAGAATATATATATTTTTTAATTGTAAATAATTAGAAACATTATTTATGTGCACAAGTACACACACATAACAAGCTGTAACGAGTTCCTCCGGCTGCAGTTCTGCAGACGGCCGGTGTGTGGCAGCAGAGCGCTGGGAGCAGAGGGAGGTGAGAAGACGGATATGACGGATGACGGATGCGACGGAAATACACCGGAACATATCTGGTAGCCCAAACATATCTGGTACTGACACCGGCTCTCTCACAAACTCCTGCTCTGTGCGCAAGCAGACCGCTGCACATGCTCTCTGTCTCGCTCAATCTCTCTCTCTCTCTCCATCGCTCAACCTTACTCCACCTATATATATATATATATATATATATATATATATATATACACACATTTGCACACAGTACAGTATACAAAGATTAAGCCAATTTAAGGCGGCGGTTATCATGCTGTCCAGCAAAGCGTTTAACAAAAATATCTAGGTCCAGTGCCTTTGCACGCTCACTCTCAATGCTGAGCACAGCTAAATGTGTCAACCGCTTACTTGCCATTGTTGACCGCAGGTGAGTTTTAACAAGCTTCAAGGTTGAGAAGCTGCGCTCACACCCAGCACTACTCACTGGCAAAACAGCGGCAATCTTGCATAAACGAAAAAGCTCAAACAGGACGTCCTCAAAAGGATCCAGGAACTTGACTAAGTCCATCAAAGTGGTGGGAGTCTCTTTTCCCTTTGCCCTGTTTCTTTCAAAAATAAATCTTGCCTGATTTAGTTCGTTCTTCAGATCTGACAAATCTGAGCCATAA